GTTCTCGAACTAATTGAATTTTATCAATTGCTTGTTGTACTAATTCTGGTCCAAGAAGTTTTCTTTCTCCAACATCATCCCAATGAATAGGAGACCTACACTTCCTTCCATAAAGAAGTTCATATGGTGCCATCTGAATGCTAGCTTGGTAACAATTATTATATGCAAACTCGGCCAGAGACAGATAATCTTCCTACAACCCTTTCATCTCCTGAACACAACATCTCAACATATCTTCTAGTGTTTGAATTGTCCGTTCTGATTGGCCATCTGTCTGTGGATGATAAGCTGAGCTAAAATTTAGTTTAGTCTGCAGAGCTCTGTGCATACTTTTCCAGTATTCTGATGTGAATCTAGGATCTCAATCAGAAACTATTGATATTGGTACACCATGTAATCTCACTATCTCATTAATGTACATTTTAGTCAGCTTTTCTAATAAAAATTTCATATTGATAGGTAAAAAGTGTGCTGACTATGTCAACCGGTCAACAATTACCCATATTGCATCATTCATTCTCAAAGATTTCGGAAGGCCAGTGACGAAATCCATGGTGATTTTTTCCCATTTTCACATTGGTATGTCCAAGTTATGGACTAATCCAGCTGGTCTTTGGTGCAGCCTTTACTTGTTGGCAAGTGAAACATTCTGCAACATAGGTGGCAATTTCCTTCTTCATATTATTCCACAAATATATTTCCTTCAGGTCTTTATACATTTTTGTTGATCCAGGATGCATAGTATACAGAGAGTGATGTGCCTCTTTTAGAATCTTTTTCTTTATCTCTGGTATGTTAGGCACACAAACTCTAATTCCAAACCTCAATGATCCATCTTTATGTATCTTAAATTCTCCTCGAGTGCCTTCTTCCACATCTTTCTTTATCTTCAACAGTTGAGGATCATTCTGCTGGTTTGCTTTAATTTCATCTAGCAAAGAAGGTTGTATTATCATATTTGCTAATTTAACTCCAATTTAGTGGATTCTAATTTCAATTCCAGTACGGTCCAAGTCCTCCAATATTTTTCTTTGAGAAGTAATTAGGCAAGCTAAATTACATGAATTCTTACGGCTCAAGGCATCAGCAACAACATTTGCCTTGCCAGGGTGATAATGGATGGTCATATCATAATCTTTTAGAAGTTCCAACCATCTTCTTTGCCGTAAATTCAACTCCTTCTGGGTAAATATATATTTCAAACTCTTGTGGTCAGTATATATCTCACAATGTACTCCATATAAATAATGTCTCCAAATTTTGAGAGCAAACACTACTGCCGCTAACTCAAGATCATGAGTGGGATAGTTTTGTTCATAAGGCTTTAACAGCCTTGAAGCATATGCTATGACTTTTCCATTTTGCATAAGTACACATCCTAATCCTCTTCTAGATGCATCACTATAAATAGCAAAGCCTGTGTCTCCACTAGGTAATGCAAGTATTAGAGCAGACACTAATCGACTTTTTAGCTCTTGAAAGCTTTTCTCACATTCATCTGACCAAATAAATTTAACTCCCTTCTGAGTAAGACGAGTTAAAGGTGAAGCAATACAGGAGAATCCTTCCATAAATTTTCTATAGTAGCCAGCCATTCCAAGAAAGCTACGGATCTCCGTCACGGTAGTCGGTCTGTCCTATTTAACAATAGCTTTTACCTTCTCAGGGTCCACAGAAATCCCTTCCTTAGAGATTACATGCCCAAGAAATGCTACTTCCTCTAACCAGAATTCACATTTCTTAAGTTTCGCATATAGTTGTTCTCTCTTTAATGTGTGCAACACCTGTCTCAAGTGTTCTTCATGTTCTTCTTTACTTCTTGAGTATATCAGAATATCATCAATAAATACCACAACAAACTGATCCAAGAAAGGTTTAAATATTCTGTTCATAAGATCCATAAATGTTGCAGGTGCATTTGTGAGCCCGAATGGTAAAACTAAAAATTCATAATGACCATAGCGGGTTCGAAATGCAGTCTTTGGCACATCTTCTGGCTTAATCTTTAATTGATAGTAACCAGAACTGAGATTAATCTTTGAAAATGCCTGAGCTCCTTGTAATTGATCAAATAGATCATCAATTCTCGGTAATGGATATTTGTTCCGAATGGTTACTTTATTCAACTCACGGAAGTCAATACATAATCTCATACTTCCATCTTTCTTCTTCACAAATAACACTGGTGCACCCCAGGGTGATACACTCGGCCGAATGAAGCCTTTATCTAAAAGTTCTTGTAGTTGTATCTTGAGTTCTCTCAATTCAGCAGGTGCCATTCGATAAGGAGTCTTAGAGATAGGACTCGTACCAGGTACTAGGTCAATTGAAAATTCAATTTCTCTATCTGGGGGCATCCCTGGAAGTTCATCTGGAAATACTTCTGGAAATTCTCGGACAATTGGTATCTCTTCCAAGCTTAGTTTTCCATCATCAACCATCTCAACTGAAGCCAAATAACCCATACATCCATTCCTCGGCGCTCGATGTGCTTTAAGGGCTGAGATGATTTTTAAGGGTTGTTGAGACTTTCCGCCCTCAAAACAAAATTCGGGTTGGCCAGGAAATTTGAATACTACTTTCTTTTCTCGACATAAAATAGAAGTATGATTTAAGGATAACCAATCCATCCCCAATATGATATCAAAATCATGCATTTCTAGCATCATTAATTCTACGGGAAGTTCCTTGTCGAGAATATAAATTTTACCCCTACAACCTTGAGTTGATACTAATATGCTACCTCCAGGTGTACTAACAAACAATTCTTGTTGTAGGGTATCACATGGTAATTTGTTTCTCTTAACGAATTGTGCAGCAATAAAGGAATGCGATGCACCAGAATCAAATAGTACTCGAGCATGAGCTGACGCAAAAGTTAGCGTACCTGTCACCACATCTTTGTTTGCTTCTGCTTCCTTCTCAATTAGGGAATAAACTCGGGCCTTGGCTTGAGGATTCTTGTTCCCACCACTGGACTGGCCAGGTTGGAATGTATTCCGAGATGATTGTTGTAGGGAACAATTTGCTATTTTGTGATCTTTCTGACCACATCTCAAACAAGCTCCAGTATTTCTCCAACAACTTTTCGTTTCATGCCCCAGCTTATGACAAACATCACATCTTAAAGTTTTCTGGTTAGTAAATTGCTCCTCTCTACGGCCGAAATTCTTCTTTTTTGTTTCTCCAATTCTTATTTCTTCCACCGCGATTATCCTGCCAGAACCGCTTCTTTGGGTAGGAGCTGCTCATCTCATTCTTTGGCTTTATATCAATTTCATTTTTCTCAATTAACAAGGCCTTCTTTAATACTTCTCCATATGTAAGGAGTTCAAATGCACTGACCGCCTTTCGAATGTCCGGTCGAAGCCCTTCCTTGAAGCGACGAGCTCTATCTTCCTCATTACCCAACAAGTGAATGGCAAATTTTGATAGATAAGTGAACTCTTCTTCATATTCAGCTACTGTCTTGTCACCTTGCTCTAATTTTCGAAACTCTTGTTCTTTTTGTTTGCGAACAGTTGAAGGAAAATACTTTTCATAATTTTTTTTAAATTCCTCCCACGATATCTTGTATGCCTTCTCACCCAATGTCCTGACCTACATTTGCCACCACCTGTAAGCGCGGTCTTTTAACATGTATACTGCATAATCAACCTTCTCCTCTTCAGGGCATTTCATGTATGTGAAGACCTTCTCCATTTCTGTGATCCAATGCTCAGCAATCATAGGATCGGTTGTCCCCTCAAAACTGGGTGGAGATAGTTTCTTGAATTCTCCCATGCCACTTCTTAATTTTGGGTGTTCCTCGTTTTGACCATTCGTCCGATTACGATCAATTTGATCTTGTTGTCTGGTGACTACAGATGTCACCGCTTGTAGCAGATCTATCAATGCATTGTTATCTATTGGGTTCCCGGAGGTGGATGCACGAGCAATTCTAGATCTCATCATTTCACCTATTGTCTGATTTAGATCCTTATCTCCGTTCGGAGGGGTTTGCTCATTACCTGAAGCCATATCTTCCTATAAATAATAAAATATTTCAGTCAACTATTATACAAGAAAAAAAAATTCTAAGTCAGTCACATATATGTAAATTAAGTAATTAGGAATTCAATCACTGCTCAATATAATATCACAAGTCAGTATTTACAAACCAAAAGTATATTATTAACATTTAACTTTTTAGTTCATACATATATCTGAGTATATGGGTTTATATATACATATTTTCTACCAAAATGTCCTACATAAACCAAAAGAGTATATGGGTTTATATATACATATTTTCTACCAAAATGTCCTACATAAACCAAAAGAGTGACTACGAGAACCCATATACTGATATTACAAAATTGTTCTACCAAAATGTCCTACATAAACCAAAAGAGTGACTACGAGAACCCATATACTGATATTACAAAATTGCCCTAACAGTTATGCTCTATTTCCCTGAGGAAGAGGAGCTTCTGGAACTAGACTTCTCCTCAGTTGGTTCAGTCTCCTCTGAGTCTTGGCTATCAACAGAATTGGACATTGGATCTGGATCTATGCCGCTAGTCCCCCATCCTTTAAGGTCGAAATCTGGACCAATGCCTAGGCTACTTGACTCACCCTCAGAGGGGGCAAGTCTCTGGTCGACACTAGGAATCTAGGCTACAAAGGACTCCATGTCAGAGGGGTCGGATGAAATCATAATAATTTCTGAAGGTGATGACTCAATTGGAACAACTTCTACCACGAGATCCTCATCCTCAGCATGATTAAGCTCAGACTCGGATGAATCTATCATAACAACTTCTGCGTTTTCGACCTCCGGTGAGTCGGGGGTCACATGGTTAGCCATTATCAGGTTTGGATTAGTTTCATCGGAAGTGTAACCCCAGTCTCTTAGGCTGGGTTCCTACGAGCTATCTACGGAAATCATAGGGTTGGACAGGGTAGATGACGAACTGGAAAATGAATTGGTTCTCGCCATCCTACAAAAAGGGAACCATCCATCAACTTACTGAAGAAAAAGGACAAAGTAAAACAAAATAAACATCTAAACACTCCTTAATGAACTTAAAAGGCTTTACTATATAAAATATTTATATGCAAACATGTATATACATATGAATACATACATATATATCACATAATTGATCCATACGCTAACACTCATCTAGCGCATATACTTTATGATAGCGTGCCCTACAAGGTTTCTAACGTCGAAACCTAAGCTCTGATACCACCTTACTGTCACGCCCCGAAACTACAGCGGAATTTCATAAAATACGGGGTGCGCGACAGCAGCGACCCGTGCACAAGACAAGTCTTATGCACGAGTCAAGCCTAGCAATTCATCTCACATAGTTTATTTTCCAAATAATTCATAAACCTGCTGATGATAGAAATCAGAGCAACTATATATATATGATCGGTACTTACAGCCCACAAGATCACCGTTACAAGCATTTTTACAAAACAAAACAAAATGTGCTGAAGGTAACATCAACAAGAAGAGGCTCTCCATATAACGCCTCTTAGCCAAACGCTCAAACCAAAAGTTCGGCTACTATGAAGCTACGTCGGATCTGAAAAAAATTTTAAAAACAACGGAATGAGCTAGCGCTCAGTGAGAACATTTCCCACTAGAGTTCCTAGATAACTAACAAAATAGTAATAAGAATAGTTCTCAGAAATTAACAAATTTCAAGTTTTGCATGAGAAATTCACAGATAGCAGAATACGATCCAAATATCATAATATTGTCATTTTTAAGAAAGAATACAATAATTATATTTCCTTTCTCATGTGCAACTGAATAAACTGTGAAATTTCTTGGAATCAAACCCTTTTTGAATCAAGGTAAACATTAAGAAGGAAAAAAACTACTAATTTGTACAAAATCAGAGAATTGTTTTTTTCTTAATTTCACAGTCAATTATCAGAATCTTATTTCTCGATGAGTATTTCATGAATGTAAAAGTCATCCCATAGGTCACACTAAGGCTACAGATTTTAGCCCAGTAGCAAGGGAATGCATAAACCGCATCAGATAACAGATAATTCCCGGGAATCGAATGCACCTAACACTGCCATAGGTTACTGGCCAAATACAGATGAGCCAGAATAATTTTCAAAAGGGACAATACAAAAGGGCCAAATAAAGGTGCATTCACCATATGGCAGGCAAAACCAATCCATAGTGTGCTATTTGAGGGTTTGAAAATATCGAGATCACATGTCAAATAAGAAATACTTTGCATAACAGAATTTGCAGATATTTCAAATGAAATTGACAAGGTAAAACTCCTCATTTCTGTTAAAACAGTTTACGGATGTTTATTTTTTCTTTTATCAGATACTAAGTCACAAAAAATCCTTGAATCCGTTAAACTGTTGAAATACGTTCCAAATACCTCATCAAAACATTCAGATAAAACAACATCCCCGATTATTTGAAAATTGCACGAGAGCCAAATTAATTTTTTTCACATTTTATATAAAAATAAATTTTGCTTTTCATATATTGTACGAGGCTAATTTCGTATTATAGGATAGAGCACAACAGAAATAGGTCAAATCTTTACCTATATGAAAAGACATATTATTTATTTATTTATATATTTTTTTTCACCAAATAAATCAAATATAAAACTCATGAAATTTTATATTATAAAATACTAGTGAGAAATGAACTCACCTCTGGTGGTCACGACTTTCTCAAACTATTATTCTCCCGAATATCAACCAGAACCTATAATGTAAGATATATGACTAATTATTAATTCAGAACAAACCTATATTATAGGTAAATCAATTCAAAATCTAGAGTCTAATAAATTCAAATATAATCAATAATGATTAAATTCTACAGTACATATAAGCTTATTATTAACTTTAGCAATTTATCAAAATTTTATAACTCTCATATACTAGCTTTTGGATTTTCTAGTAATTTATGATAATGCAAGGGGTTATAGGGAATTTTATCAAGTCTAAAAGTTATTGTTTATTCCTCAGGTTGGACTTGTTTGCAACTGAACAAAAGACAGGGGCCTAATAGATATTTTCCAGTTATTTTAAACCATAACTTATTTTACTAAGGTCTGTTAGAAAGTTTTACATGGTTCAGGGGCTTAAAGTAAATTTTCCTCTCCTTATCTAAATCTCTGCTTCCTGACTCTTCATCTTCTTCCCCTTTTTTTCCTTTCTTCTTTTTTTTTCCGTTCCCTCTCTTCTTCTTTTTTTTCGGTTTTTCTTCTCCTCTCTCTCTCTCTCTCTCTCTCTCTCTCTCTCTCTCTCTCTCTCTCTCTCTCCTTCCTCTCCCTGTCTCGCCAAAACCCCAAGACTACGGCAAGGGATCGCCGGCGAACAAAAGTGGCCGGCGGTCAGACCCCCGACGAAACTAGGGTTAGTATTTCTCTCTTATTTACTAAAACAGTTAATCAAATATCAATTTATCAGTTTATTACTATTCTATAACATATTTACTTCTTCTAAATCAAGAAATTTTAGATCAACATGAGGATTGACTTATACCTTACTGATTTTGAACTTTGGGATGTTGATCACATTCCTTCCTCTTCTTCTTCTTCTCTCTTTTTTCGTGGGTTTTATTTGATTTTTTTCCTGTGATTTTCTTTGATTTTCTCTGTTTTTCTCTGTTTTTAATCTCCCGTTAAAGAGGTGCCGACCCATTCATCGAATGAGTTTTAGCCACAAAGTTTTAACGTGGCAGATAAATGGGAGTTATGGTGAAATTCCTAGAATACCCTTAATTAACTCCCTAATCTGTAATTAAAAAAAAATTCTCCATTAATCAAGTTTTTAAGGCCCTAATTATTTGGGTTATTACAGAAATAATCCAAACAAGGAACCCCTCATGTATATACCATATTCTCAAATTGTAGATAATTAAATATTAATCCCGATCTATGTATGAAAAGAAATATAACTGGTCCGTATCTCACAAGAAATCATACTTAGACAAGAAACAATGTCATGTAACTAACCATTCTATAACATGTCACTGGTCACATCTCACATAGAGTCAACGCTCCTGTCATCGGATACTGACTGCTCACAAATCCCCTACGTGCATCCAATCCCGCTACACATGCGGCCAGAGGACTACACGTAAACCGTTTTCTGCCTGGTCCGAACTCAAGCAAAACTCGGGTGACAAATTCAATTCCCACTGACTAAAGTGATGTACACACTTTACTTTAGCCCTACAAACCAACCCCAGTGGCGACACCAACCACGGGCGCAAGCCTGGAAGATACATCAACAGTCTTATCCGATCACATGAACACGGACTTTCCCATCCCAACTCTTCTCGTTTTGCTAAATCAACACAACACATGTCTCTAGGTCTTATTCATGTCACACATGTCACTATAGTCATAAACTCCTAACGATTCTCAATCACAACAAGGAACAATCACTGTAACTAATCATGTACAATAATATCATAGCATATCAGATAATCAAGATTAAGAATTTGAATCATAAAATTGTTCTAAAATAATCAAAAATAATCTTTTTATAAGATAAATTCTCATTAATTCAAAATAGTCTATTTACCCAAATAATTTCTTTTTAAAAATATTTATCATTCTAAAACGATTTCTTCCACAAGATAATTTCTAAATATATATATATATATATATATATAATCTAAAATAATTCTTTTTCCAAGATAATTACTTTTAAATTATTATAATTTTCCTAAAATGATTTCATTCTCAAATAAATTCTTTTTAATTAATATAATTATCCAAAAATGATTCCGTTACCGAAATAAATTCTTTTAATTCATTATAATTATTCTGAAAATGCTATTTATCATATTAGTATGATATATTTAATATTATTCATCAATAATCCTACGTAGATAGTTATATCACAGATCTAAAATTACAGATAATTCATAATAAATATAAAATTTAAATTTGAGCAAGTGGGATCTTGCAAGCCACTAATTAATTCAGAGCGGATCTAAGAATTGAATGACAAGTATCGGGATCTTGTCTCGGGTTATTGTCGGATGATTCAACGTTACCGTACGTGGCTATGTGTCTACGGACAAGGTGGCGATGCCGATGTTTGCTGTTTCGGTGATGTGCGTAGCGGTTCGAGGCAACGACGAGGAGAGGTGGAGGTGATGGAGGAGCTGCAGTGGTGTAGGAGAGCGGCGGCAAGGATTCGAGCAGCGGCGTTGTCGACAGCGGAGCTTGGGGAGGAGAGCTGGGCGGAGCTCGCTGCAGGGCTGGTCGGCAGCCGCAGCTGGGCGAGAGAGGGAGGCCAACGACGGGACTGCAGGCGGTGAGGGCAGTATCTGGACGGGACGGCAAAGGAGGCAGCGGACGGTCGACGGCGCGGTTTTAAGAGGAGGAGCCTGGTTGTGTCTGAGGCGGAGAAGAGAACCGGCGGCGTGGGGTGCCTGCTGATCTGATATGGGGATGGGTGGAGAGGGAGTGGGATGAGGGCGGAGGCGCTGGCTAGGGATGGTGCTGGAGGCCGTCGGGACTGCTGCGGGCGAGTGGTTTTGAGCGGGTCGACAGCGGATGAGACGGTGGTGGACGGGGTGGTGGCGAAGGCGGTTGGATCTGGGTAGCGTGGCTTGGCTTGAGAGCGGAAGGCTGCGTAGGAGGTTGCAGCGGGCGGTTACACGGCGGTTGGTCAGGTGGCGCTCGCGCGAGGACAGTGGCGATCGGAGCTTGGGGCGTTGGCTGGGCGGTGATGTGTCTTTGGGAATTTATGTCTACCAAATTGAAGTTGATGGCTAAGCTGAGGACATTAACGGTTGAGCGGAGTGATGTAGCGAAGTCGAGGGCGTGGAGTGGCTTCCTGCGTGGAGGGCAGGCGACGAAGCTTTCAGGGCGGAGGGACGTGGGGTAGAGGCGGGGTTGATGAAGAAGAAGGGGTGAGGACAGGCGACGGGGGATGCTGGCGGCTGAGGGGGCTACAGGGATGAAGGCGAGGAATGACGTAGGGGCGCGAATGGCGCGTTGGTGAAGGCGGTTGTGTGGCTGGCGTTTAGAGGGAGGGAGAGAGTGAACTGGGAGAAAGTGAGAGAGAGATGAGATTTTGTAGAGAGAGAGAGAGAGAGAGAGAGCTCGTGAGTGAGAGAGAGAGCACGAGAGATTAAAAAAAGAGGGGGAAATACGAGGCACAGTATTTTGCGTGAAAGGGGGAGGGAATTGGGGAAGTGGGGTAGGGAAGAGAGAGGATGAATTATTGGAGGGAGAGAGACAGAGTAGAGTAGGATTAGACTGAAAGGGGTATAACAATGTATACAATGCCTGCTACAGGTATATGTAGCAGCTAAATGTTAATAATAATACAAGATAACTAATAATATAATAATAATAATAACAATAATAAATAACCAAACATTAATTTAAAAGTCGTTATCGTAACAATTAAATTTATAATTAGCAAAATCATTAAAATAATTATAAAAACAAACTTTTAAATTATAGAAAATTCTAGAAATTTAGCGAAATACAAATACTCTTTTTAAAAAATAAAATTTTAATATTTAAATGCCAGAAAAATTATTTAAACCAGTATTAAAAATTTACAGTTATTATACCTTGGGCCTCACATTCTGAAAGTAAAATTGTGAATGGGGATAAACAGAGGTTGACAAATACCCGGTGAGTTCCTCTGGCGGCTGGTTCGA